CCTGCAGGCTTCTCACAGGTCCCATTGGCCATGATTGCTCCAGCTGTGAGAGAGGCTGGGAACAGTGACCAGCACTGGGTGCTCTTAGTGAGGGTAGTGGGCTGCCAAGAAGGAGGAAACAGGCAGGGGCCAACTGGATGGCTGACTAGTAGGCAACAGCAGTGTGAGGATTCAACCTTGTGAAACAATCAAATAGAGAGTAAGCTCATTCTCTTTGTCACCACCCACACATCCAATCCAGCATCCTCTCCCAGGTGGCCACTTTGATGAGTTTGGTGTGAACCCTTATAGGCCTTTTCCTGAACATTAATATACACGTGTGCATATCCATAGGAAACATCTGTGTCCACAAATTGTATTATACTGCAGATATCATTCTGTATCTTTTTCTTCTCAAAACTATCTTACTGACTTGTAGGTTGGTGAATACAAAACAGAGGCCTCCCTCTTAACCAGAAGCATAACCAGTGATTTTGCTCTGGGTGGGCATTTGTGTGTTTTCTAACTTTACACTGTTGTGAATGAAGCTGTGCTGACCACTCCTCGGCCTGAGGCCGAGGACTGACATTGCTAGATCCTGGGGTTAATACACTTTTTTTTTTTTTTTTAAGATTTGTTTTATTTTTTTTGGCTGTGCCACATGGCATATGGGATTTTTATTCCCCAACCAGGGATTGAACCCGTGCCTCCTGCATTGGGAGCACAGAGTCTTAACCACTGGACTGCCAGGGAAGTCAGATATACTTTTTATTTTAAAAGAGAACCCCAGCGGCCCTCCAAATCCAGTTACTGCCCCAACCAGCAGTCAGTGTTAAGCCCTCCGTTTCCCCACACTTTTGCCAACATTTGATAGTTTGAAGCATTTTAATTTTGGTCAGTCTTAGGGTAAAACATTATATCCCATTGTTTAAATTTGCACTTCCCTGACAGTTAGTGAGGTTGACCATCTTTGGATGTCTGTCGTTTCCTGTGTTGTCTCTGGAGAACTGCTGTTTATGTTACCCGTTGTCTCTTGGGTTGCTTATTCTCTTTGCATGGATTCCATGTGTCTCTCCAGATCCTCGGTGCCTGCTGACCAACGGCAAGCTGCCACTCTGGGCAAAGCGGCTGGTGAGTCTGCCCAGAGAGTGGGACACCTAGGAGCTGACAAAGAAGGGGTGCCCTCCTCCATGTTCCTCATTCTTCTGGGAACACTTTTCCCCTCCACATGTCTCCTTTCCCTGGAGAACCCCTGTCACCCTTCCACTCTCCGCTTAGACAGTCCTTCTTTCATGCAACACATGTTTACTGAGTGCCTACCCTGGGCTAGGCCTTGCTGTGGCCCTTAGATACAGCAACCAGCAGGGCAGATGAAATCTCTGCCTTCACAGGCTCATTCTCTACTAGCCACATCAAACAGGTAAATTATATAGTGTTTGGGGAACTGATAATCAGTGCTATGGAGGACAAAAAAGTTGAGAAGGAAAATACAAAGTGTTGGGGGTGGTGACAATTTTAGGGTAAAAAGAAAAGGCTTCACTAGGAGGACTTCACGTATTTGAGCAGAATTAAAGCAAGTGAGAAATACAGATCCTGGGAAAGAATGTTCCAGGCAGAGAGACCAGTCTGCAAGGGTAAGGGCCGTGAGGCAGGATCATGCTTATTAGCATGTTCCAGGAAGTGCAGGGAGGCCCGATGCCTGGGTCAAGGGTGAATGAGGGCAGACTGGGGGAGAAGGGCTCAGAGGGGCAGTGGGCGCCGGGTGGTGAGGAACCGTGTGGGCTTTGCTGCGCCCCCTCGCCACCCCTTACTGTCCTTCTCCACTTATTTCTTACCCTGTAGCGCTGAGCGAGATGCACAGGAGGGAGAGCTCTGAGCCAAGGAAGGTCGTGTTCTAACTCGGGTGTTAACAGGTCCCTGTGGCTGCCTGGGCAAAACAGAGCTTGAGGGGCAATCAGGGGGACCAGGGAGGAGACTGCTGTGATAATCCTGGCAGGAGAGGTTGGAGGCTGGACCTGAGGGGAGAAGTGGTTGGATTCTGGATGGATTTTGAAAGTGGAGCCAAACAACTGGATGTGAGAGAAAGAGGGGGACCGAGATGAAGGTAGGATTGAATGAGTGATCATTAATTGAGGGAGGGGCAGGCCAGGAGCTGGTGGGTTAGAAGTTGGCAGCAGAATCCTAAACCCCAGGTTGAAGGGTTTATTTCAGGAACAATGTCAGACCTCAAATCAGAGCCTAAATGTCAGCTCTTCAGGGAAATCCTCCCTGTCATCAGCCCCTGCACTGCTGACCAGGTCAGGCATGTGGCTGTTCTCTCTCAGGCCCCCAAGCTTTCCCTTATCAGTGCATATTACAACTGGAGTTACATCCAACAAATATTCACAGAACACACTGTACAGGTTCTATTGAGTCTTTTATATGTATTGTTTAATCCTCCTGGATGTATGGGCTTTTCATATCCCCTGTTATTTCACAGATAGGGAACTGAGGCCCAGAGGGGTTAAGTAACTTATCTGGGGTCAAGCTAGGAATTAGGGGAGGTGGGGTCGACCCTAGAAGGCTGGCTCCAAAGCCTAAGTTCTCAAGCACCCACCCTCCACTGTCTCTCAGGCAAGTCTTGGTAGGAGGCAGTGGTGGGCAGGACCAGGGTTAGGGTTAGGGGACCGTGGAAGAGAAGTGGCCATATCTTGGATGTGTTTGGGTGGCAGAGTTGAAGAAATACAATGGGAAGTGTGAGGGACAGAATAAGAGGAATGAAGGAGAACCTCAAGGTTCGGGGCCTGAGCAGCTGCAAAGAATCACTGAGACAGGGAAGGCGTTAGGAGGAATAGGTTTAGGGGGAAGGTCAGTTGTTGTCTTCAACATGTTTGCTTTGAAAGATCACCAAACATCCATGTGGAGATGTGGAACAGTTGCATGTGCACTTCCAAAGTTTAAGAACAAGGTTCAGGCTGGAAACAAATATCTGGAAGTTGTTTCTGATTTATGTTTAAAGCCACGAGGCTCGATGCAGGTCCGTGCAGTGTCCCAGGCCCTCACTGGAGTTGGTGAGCACTTGGCTAGCTGCCTGACCGTCCCCTGTCACCCTCAGCTAGGAGATGATGATGTGGCAGACAGCTCGGCCTTCCATGCCAAGCGCAGCTACCAGCCACATGGCCGCTGGGCGGAGCGGGCTGACCAGGAACCTCTCAAGACCATCCTGGATGCCCGGGACCTGGATTGCTACTTTACCCCCATGAAGCCCAAGAACCTAGAGGATTCTGTTCTAGATACAGTGGAGCCGCAGAGACTGGCGGGCCTGCTGAGTGAGGTATAGACTGCCTGCCCCAGCCCGGCCTACAGCCCCTGCACCATGACTGCCGCCGCAGTAACTGGGGCCTCAGTGCTCTCGTTCTACAGATAAAGCTGACTGTCCCACTCCAGGGGTGCAAAAGGGTTACATGAGATGGTAGAGGGCAGGAGGGTGAGCCTCGGACCTGGTGCATAGTGAAACTTCCCAGGGCAGACCAGAAAGCGGGAAGATGGGGTTGCTCGGGGGTTAAGAGCTTGGGCCCGAGGGCAGGCCTGTGCCTGAGTTGGGGGCATTTGAGCAGGTGGAGCCCTGGCCCTACCCCTTCCCGGCTCTGTAACCTGCAGCAAGGCTTGATTCTCTGGGCTTTGATTTTCAAAAATATGGTCATTTAAAAAAAAAAAAAGACTTCCCTGACTGTCCAGTGGTTAAGACTCCATGCTCCCAATGCAGGGGGCCTGGGTTCGATCCCTGGTCATGCCGCAACTAAGAGCCTGCATGCTGCAACTACAGATCCTGTATGCGGCAACTAAGACCCGGCGCAGCCAAATAAATAAATAAATATTTTTTAAAAAGAAAGGCGACTGGGGCTTCCCTGGTGGCGCAGTGGTTGAGAGTCCGCCTGCCGGTGCAGGGGACACGGGTTCGTACCCCGGTCCGGGAGGATCCCACATGCCGTGGAGCGGCTGGGCCCTTGAGCCATGGCCGCTGAGCCTGCGCGTCTGGAGCCTGTGCTCCGCAACGGGAGAGGCCACAACAGTGAGAGGCCCGCGTACCGCAAAAATAAATAAATAAATAAAACCATTTAAAAAAAAAAAAGATGACTAAGAAAAGATTTCAGAAAAGGTCATTTTTAAAAATGGTCATTAAAAAAAAGTGCACAGGGGGCTTTTACAGTAATCCAGTTCTAGATACAGGGTCTGGGCCCTAAAAGGTGCTGAAGCAACTTTAGCTCTTATTCTATTATTTTTCAAACAAAATTCTTTTTTATTCTATTATATAAGTTTGCTTATGTGGCATAATATAAATAGTTATGGGCATAATTCATAAATATATAGTTTGATGAATTGCTACCTGTGTACACACCGATGTATCCACCACCCAAGTCAAAATATAGAGCATTTTCTACCTCTTGGAAGGGGATCTTGGAGAACCGCCTTGTGTCTCTTCCAATCAGTACCCCCACTGAGGTAACCAGCATTCTTTTTTATTTTTATTTTTTGGCTGCATTGAGTCTTCGTTGCTGCATGCGGGCTTTCTCTAGAATCGTCGAGCAGGAGCTCGTTGCGGTGCACGGGCTTCTCATTGCCGTGGATTGTCTTGTTGCGGAAAACGGGCTCTAGGCGCACGGGCTTCAGTAGTTGTGGCTCACGGCCTCTAAAGTGCAGGCTCAGTAGTTGTGGCACCCAGCTTAGTTGCTCCGCGGCATGGGGGATCTTCCCGGACCAGGGCTGTAACCCGTGTCCCCTGCATTGGCAGGCGGATTCTTAATCACTGAGCCACCAGGGAAGCCCTGGTAACCAGCATTCTGACCTCTCTCACGATGGATTGATTTGCCTGTTCTTGAATTCCATATGAATAGACTCTTAGTGGGTTGGAGCTATACCTATTCCTTATCTGTAAAGGGGCTGATGATAATGCAGGGGCAGCACAGAGTGAGCTCATCATGGCCCCAGCCCAGGCCCTGGCTCACAGGGAGCGTCCAGCAGTGAGGGCTGCCATCACTACCTACATCTTTACCGTTACCGTCGGTGTTGGCGGAACACCTAGCAGCTTAGGAGGGCCCTGGTTGCCACAGCTGCCTCTGATGGCTGTGCTGTCTTCCCCCCCAGTCAGAGAGTCCCCAGGACAATGGCTGCAGGCCTCCCTCCTTACCACCTCTACAGAGGGAGTCTTCTGAGGCCAGCGAGCTCATCATCTACCCACTGGAGACAGAGGTGACAGTCACAGGGACAGACAGGTGGGTGTCTTTTGCACCAGTGGGAACCTTAGTTGGAGAGAGGAAGCCTCAGCTGGTAGGCACACCATGGAAGAGCTGCTCCCCGCTCTCCCAGTGGGCCTGAGGGAGGGAGGCGGGCAGGGGGTGAAGCCCTGATGGTGCAGGAGCCCAGTGCAGCCTGTCTTCCTGGTTCCAGGAGAAGGTGCAGGGGCCTCTGGAGGCGGCAGGAGAGGTGAGGCTGTACTCCCAGCAGGAGCAGGTGCAGATGTCTAGGCGTTCTGGGTGGGGGCCACTTGTTTACTAACCAGTACGTTATCATTCCCTCGCCCCACGCCCACGGGCACTGCAGCAAGTACTGTGCGGAAGAAGTAGCGAGGGCGCCAGGAGACCAGCAAGGTGACTCCTGCCTCAGGGCCCCCTCCATTGACTCGAAGGACCGGAGCCTACCTGAGGGTGAGTGAGCACCAGGCAGTACACCCTGCAGTAGTCTGTTCACCTGGCCACCAGGTCCCTTTCTGGGCGCTGATAGTGACCTTGACCGAGTCTTTCTGAAGCCCAGAGTCTGTCACAGAGACAGGCATGGTCCCTGCTATTGTCACTCTAGAATTCTGGAGCCCAACTTCCCACCAGTGGGAGCCCAGCTCTGCACCTTCCTCGAAGTGTAGCCTTGCTGGTCCATAAAAATAGGGGCGGTCTTATCATCCCCTTTCTGCAGATGAGGAAACTGAAGCCCTGAGACCCAAAGCGCCTTACCTGACTCAGTCAGGGCCCAGCTTTGGACTCCTGACCCCTCCCACCCTGTTTTCCAGACTCAGGGGAGTCAGAGGCTGACTTGGAGTGCAGCTTTACCACCATCCATTCCTCCCCTCCACAGCCAGACCCAGACCCTCAGTTTGATGTGACGCCTCCTACACCAGGTAAGTAGGGGCCAGATGTGGGGAAGGCAGTGTGTGGGCCTGGCCAGGGGATGGTCACCATAGATAACCACTGGCCCAACATCAACCCTGCATTTGGTGGCCACTGAGCACCACTTTCCTCCCCTGGAAGACAGACGCATTAGCCCTTCCTTCTCCGCCTGGTAGCAACAGGGTGTGTGATGGGCAAGTCCAGCTTTCTCCATTGTTAAGTGGCCAGTGGCTTTTTCAGAGCGTCTGCCATGATTCATGGTGTTGATGGTTCTCTCCTGCCCACTCCCTCTCCCCAACCCCCTTCTCCTCTCCCCAGGATGCCCAGGTACCGCAGAAGAGTTGTCCCAGCCCGAGGTGCCAAGCATATCCAACGGCTCCCTGCCCCAGACCCCTGAGCAAGAGAAGTTCCTCCGCCACCACTTCGAGACACTTACTGACGCCCACCCTGAGGGTAGGCCATGCCCCTCTCTGACCCCTGCCTGGGCAGCATCCAGGACTGGGCTCAGTGTGGGCTTCTCTGGGGTTAGGCTTTCCCTGGCAGGGCTGGCGAGGGTGGTGGGAGGGCGTATGTTTTACTTAGGGGCCCAGCTGTATGGTTTCTTCTGCCTGCTCCATTTGCTCCCAAAGTGTGTGTTGTCTGTTGATGGGGGTTTCTGAGGATCTGTCTGCTGGTCTGTGGGTCTGCCTGGGCCCAGGGCTGGCTGGCTGGAGGGATTCTGAGGGCGCCCTCGGCATCTTGCCCTAGAGCCCTTCCACGGATCCCTGAGAGACCTGAAGGCCTCTGAGGCCGAGGACGACTTCTTCAATCCCCGGCTGAGCATCTCAGGCCAGTTCCTCTCCCGCCTCCAGAAGACATCCAGGTGGGAGCTGGTGAACTAGTGAACTCCCACCCTGCCTTCCAGCTCTCTGTCTCCCCGTGGGGTGGGGCTGTGTGCCCTCAGGCGCCCCCAGAGCAGCCACAACCACCTGTTTTCCCCCCTACAGGTTCATCCACACCTTCCCTTCCCGGCTGCCCCTGCACCTCGTGAAATCCCCGGAGGTCAAACTCATGGATCTCAGGGGGAGCCCGCCCAGAGCAGAGCCCCTGAGAGCAGGTACTGGCTACACCTGCCCAGGCAGGACCAACGTGAGTACTGGGGCCGCTTCCCTCGAGACATAGGGCTGGGAGCCTGGTGGCCTCATCCTCACCTCGAGGCTATGCTTGCAGGTCATCTCTGGGGGGAAGGCTGAGGAGCCCCTCGAGACCCTGGAAGCCTGGTCCCCACTGAGTGAGTGTCCCCACCCCCAGGTGAAAAGCCCTAGCCTTCTCAGCAAATGGCCCTGGGTGCCTAGCTGAGCTATGGTGGGGATGGACAGGATCCACTCAGACCCTGCAGCCACCCTGGCTGGGGCTCCCTGTCCATCAGCTCTGAGCTGGGGTGTGAGAGTAAGCTGCCTCTTCCTTTCTAGCCCCCTGCCTCATGGGCCTGGCGCCCTGCATCCTGCCCTCCTCTGTGCCGCCCACAGACAAGAAGCCTCCGACACCCGCAGCTCTACCCACTCCAGGCCTGGCTCAGGGTGTCCACACCCCCGCCGCCCGCTCCTGCATGGAGGCCACTGCCAGTTCCTGTGCCAGGATACCACACAGCATTTCCGTTGAGGACAGTGAGGGCCCTGTCCTGGCTGAGCTGGCCAGGCCTCTGTGCAGGTCCTCGTCCCTGAGGGAGCTGGCCTCCCTGGGCCAGGAGCTCCAAGTCATCACCACCACAGTGACACCCAGTTCTGACAGTGAGGGCCAAGAAGCTGTCCTGCCCTCCCGGGGCAACCATGAGGCCCGCGCCAGCCTGAAACTCACCCTGTCAAGCATCTGTGACAGGCTCGTGTTGCCCCCACCCCAACTGCAGCCTCCCACCACGTGTGTCTGGTCCCAGGAGCCTGTGGCCACCCAGCCCAATGTCATGGTCACAACAGCCAGCTTCCTGGCCCCCAGCCCTATGGATGGGAGTGGCCCAAGGCTCCACAACGCCACCTTTCTCCCAAGGTTCCTGGCCACCGAGTCCCTCAATACCCCTTCCCATCCCAACAGCCCCCCACTTCCAGAGGCCAGGCCTGGGGTCCCTGGCAGCATCACCTCCCTCCTGGAGCCCACCCCTGGTGAGTACCATCCTTGGGACAAGGGATTGTCCCCTAAGCTCATCCCATGTAACAGCTGGCTCAGTTCCAAAGGTGGGCACTTGACCTGGCCACAGGCGCTGTGCCACTCATTCATTCATTGCCTTACATATTTAGTGAGTACCTTGTTTGTGTTGGGCTTTGTTCTGGGCCCTGGGAACGTGGGACTTGGTGGTAAACAAGACTACAGAGAATTGACACCTTAACTGGGGGAGACGCCCAGACTAAATCTATAAGGAAAGTGTTCAGTGTATCACAAAGCGATGTGTGCTGAGAAAAAGAGAAAGGGTTTAGGGAGTGACAGGTGGGAGCAGTGGTTAGTTTTAAACAGGATGATGAGAAAAGGCTTCAGGGAGAAGGTGGCATTTGAGCAGAGACCTGCAGAAGGGGTGGGAAGGTAGCCTTGGGGACTGAGGGAAGTGTCCCAGGCAGAGGGACGACAGTTGGGGTCGGCCCAGCAACACTGGCCTCTTTAGACCAGCTAAAAAGTAGAAGTGTCTTTCTCATTTCATCCCCTCCACCCCCAGATGCACTCAGTCAAGTCCAGGGCTGCCCTGGACACTGCGGGGAACCGAGGGGCCCAGCCAGGGTCCTGCCCCCAGATCCCCTTGAGCTGAGCAACGTGGGGACCGTCGTGCACAGACTGCAGACTACCTTCCAAGAAGCCCTGGACCTTTACCACCTGGTGAGCCGAGTCCCAGGGTCAGGGGAAAGGACTGAGGGACTCCCTGGCACTGCCTGGCCCAGGTGGCCCCTAACAAGATGGGCGCCCCTTGCAGATGGTCTCCAGTGACGAGGTGAGCGCCGAGCAGCGGCAGGCACGGACTGAGCTGGCCTCCACTTTCCTTTGGATCCACAGCCAGTTAGAGGCCAACGACTGGCTCGTTGGGACCGATCTGGCCCCAGCCCAGGCCCTGCCCAACCCAGGCCCCCCCTCCCCACCTACACTGTGCCCCCTGGCCAGCCCAGATTTGCGTGCCCTGCTGGAACACTACTCAGAGCTGCTGGTGCAGGCTGTGCGGAGGAAGGCACGGGGGGACTGAGAGCCAACAGCCCCCTCCACCTCAGCCCTGCTGCTTCTGAAGAAATAGTTATTTTACGCAAATAAACTGACAGCTTGGAGGAGTGGTTCCTGGTGCCTGTTCTGTGCATCCACAAAGCCCCCTTCAGATGGATGCAGGGAGAGAGGGTAGAGAGCCCAGGGAACTCACAGATGCCCCAGTGCCAGGCCCTGTTTCAGGACTCTGTCGTGGGGAACACAGGACTGTTGGGGAACTGCAATAATGATGACCCCAGCACCTGGCTCCCACGTCACCTGTCCCCGGCCCACTGAGCTGCTGTGGAGTCACGTGTGGTCCTTGCCCAGTGGGGCCCAGCTGTACTCTAGGGAGGGGCCAGCCCTTCTTCTCTGCCCCCTACTGATGCGCAAGAACCCACTGGAGCCTCTGTGATCACCATGTCCCAGACCCTGGCCACCAGTTCACATACTGCCACAACACTGGCTCACGGCCCCTGGGCCAGTCCCATGCTGGATCCTGTGAGCTCCAGGCTTTCGTTCCCATTTGCAGCAGGGTAAAGTGAGGGAGGACAAATCCAGGGAGCATGCCTAGGCCACCCAGCAGCTGGGACCAGTAATTCCTTCCCCAGCAAGACTGTGTCCAGCTTCAGCATCCCATGAGCTCCCAGCACTGGTACCAGCTTCCCTAGGCAGCAGGCATCTAGCCACGTGGCATGTCTGCTAAGAAGGACACTCTTGTGACCACAAAAGCCCTCACTGTCCCAAGTCTGTAAAAAGGAAGCCGGCAGGAGCAGAACCCTCCTAGAGCACAGTCATACTGTGCAGCCTGCTTGGCCTGAACCCCCACTTGCCTGTGAGTTCCTCCCTGCTCTGTTTGATGATCACAGCCCACCAGAAACAGGCTCAGAGAGATCCAGTGCCTTGCCTCGGGTCCCATAGAGTTGAGAGTCGAATGAGGCTTGCCTGGTGGTAGAGCCAGACTCTTTTAACATGAGGACGTGGCTCTCTGTTGGCCCTGTAAACACTGAACCAATCATACAGTTGTTGAAAAAAATCCTACCAGCCCCGAGGAATTGCTGGTCCCAGCTGCTGTCACTGCTGTACACGGTAGGGGTAGAGCAAGGAACAGGACAAGCAAAGCATCTGCCCTCGTGGCATTCACCTAGAAAGTGAAACACGACAGAAATTAAAATAACTGTCTAACTGTAGGTAAACTGAGGGCATTCCCTGTGCTGGTTACAGGACTTTCTTAGGTGATGTTGGAGCTGAGGCTTGATAGAGGGCACAGGCCGTGTGGACACTTGGGCAAGTATCCAGGCAGACAAAGGCCAGTGCAAAGGCCCCATGGCAAGCTCAGATGTATATGAAAGGAATAGCAGTGAAGCCAGGAGGCTGGAACAGAGTGAGCTCAGGGCGAGGGTAGGAGAGGAGGTGGGAGGAAGAATGGGTCCCACTGGGCAGGGCCTTGTCGCTTCATGACATTTAAATCCAAGACACATTCACAATATAGTTTTTTTCTCCTAAATATAATGCCTGATCTTGGTGTTTGGGAAGATGCCCAGTATTGTTTATTTCTCAAGGCTCCCTCTCCCTGCCCCGGCCCACTGGCCACCCCTGCAGACTGGAGACCCACTTGCCCTGCCCCTGCCTGCCTCAGCCACAGACGCCTAAGATCTCTGAGGTGTTTGGTTTCCAGGCCCCTGGACACCCAGGGGACCACCTTGAGCCTCGGTCCCTCATGGATTTTACCTCTCCTCCCACCCTGTATCATAGTTAACTCTTCAACTCCAGGTAGCAAACACCTGGCTTAAGGGGCCCCAAGCTATAGGGCCATTTGTTACTCTTGATTCTGTTCCTGCTCTATTTCACCCTCTGTGAGTCTGAGTTTCACTCTCCAGCTTGGGCCCTCATGGTGGCAACATGGCTGCCACAGCTCCCAGCAGTACACCTTCACCCAACCAGGAGCAAAGACACAAAGCAGGGCAGCCACCAGGATAGTGGGGAAAAAGTGCAAAGGCTTCTTAGATGCCTCCCCTTTCAGAGCAGTTGCAGGCAACAGGATTGGAGATGCCTTTAATTTGCTTGGACCAGCCACCTCCCCTGTCCTGGGCCTGTTACTGTTGCAACAAAATTGGGTTCTCTCGGCACAAAAGGAAGGTGAGCTGGTAGAGAGGATCCAGTGTGTCTGCCAGTCTCCACCTCCTAATGCCAAGCTCTTCAGCCCTGGAAGGACCAGACTTTTCTCAGACAAACCGACTGGTTAAGAAACCACTGCTGATGAATGTGTGTGCATGCGACAGTGTTCCAGCAGGAAGAGGACAGCATGCTCACGTGGGATATTTGAAAGAGAGTTTAGCAGAGGGATCATTTGCAGAGAAGTGGACAGAGAACAGGGAAACCTCAGGGCCAGTGCATTACCCTAGACTGGTAACAGGAGAGGTGTTACTCCCCACACAAGGCACAAGGGAGCAAAGTGGAACCCAGAAGAGCAAATCCTGGAGAGAGCTGCCCTGAGGGGAGTTGTGTTCCTGGCAACCCCACAGGGAGGGAGTTGGGGGAACCTCTCCCCCATCTTCTGCCAGGCTCCCCATTGTCTAAACCCCACTGGAAGCTAGAGGGCCCAGGAGCCCAAATGATACTGACCACCCAGGTCAGCTTCCCAGGACACAGAGCAGGACAGAAAAGGGACCTGGGGGCAAGTAAAGATACCTGGCCCCAGGGTTTTTCCCTAATGTGTTTTCAGCAACAACTCAGGAACCAGTTGTCCCAAGAGATGTGGTGTTGGGCATGGAGAACTGGGCACCTGAGACGAACAAAATGGCTCCCATAACCCGCTCACTGGCTTGTTCTTCAGTGCATCTGGCCCTGCGTTGGTCAGGTCCTAGATACTGGGCTGCCGACCCAGGCCAGGCACACCAGTCACGGCTGCGTTAAGTCCAACAATTGGGAGATGGAGACACTTAAAATCCCACTTTACAGGGACATCCCTGGCAGTCCAGAGGTTGACACTCCGCCCTTCCACTGCAGGGCGCACAGGTTCCATCCCTGGTCAGGGAACTAAGATCTCGCAAGCCGTGCAGTGAAGCCAAAAAAAAAAAAAAAATCCCATTTTACATGGGCTGATTGAAACTCAGATGCTTGCCTAGCCACCCCACCCTTCAATACTTTTGAACAACCCGCATTTATATGTCTGCTGCATGCCAGATCCTCTCCCTGGGTGATCTGCATGGATTTTCAACACAAACCATTGGTAGGAAGACTCATTAGTCCCATTTCCAGATGAAGAAACAGGCTCAGCAAGACAAGATGTGACTTCCCCCAGGTCCTGCAGAGATAAAGTGACAAAGCTCTGGGCCAGCAGGCTTCCAGCGCTTCCTCTGTTGCTTCCGAAAATGAATTAGCTGGACTGGCTCTCAGGGAATGTGAAGAAATGAATAAATATTGCTTCTTTCACCATCAAGCCTTTTATAGACTTCCTCTGCCTGGAAAACCCTCCCTGTTTACCAGAAACCTCTTCTTCCTTCAAGGCTCACACCTAGGAAGTCATCCCTGAACCCTTAGACTGGATCAGGAGCCTCTTCTGGGTCCCCTGAGCCCCCGGCTTTTCCCCATTGAAGCTTGAGTCACTCTGCCTGTGCTTCCCCCATCACAGCCTTGGTCATTCTGGACTGTCACTGGTGTGTCTCCCCCATGGACCTTTATGTCATTTTCAGTGCTGAGCTAGGCCAGGCCTATAGTTGGAGATCAGAAAATCGTTGGGTGAATAAGTGAAAGTAACTGCATGGGGAATATTCAAAATCCTTAACCCCTGGCTAAGAAGCCAATGACCAATCTAGAATGGAGCCTGGCCACAGTGCTGGGGTAAGGGTCCTGGGAGCCCCTGGCTGTGTCAGGTGACCCCTTATAGTTCCTGGACCGTACGAGAGTGAGGGAGTTACTAGGAGCTGCACTAGTAACAAACCAGTACTGTGATACCCCGTACACTTGAACAGTGCTTCCGGCTGAACGTCAGCTCTGGGCATCTGCGGATCAGAGAGGTAGAGTTTCCTGCTTGAAGATGCACAGGCTGGATCCTCACTTTGACCTTACCAATTGGACCCTGCTGTCTCTCCACCCTCTGGAGCAAGCAATCACAGTCACCCCCTCCCCTGCTTCCTCAGACGGCTGCTGTGATTTGAATAACCAAGCAGGCTGTTGGATGTCCGGTAGTGACTGGTTTGCTTGGCAAATAGACCCTCAGGTCCTGGGCCCTGCTGGTAATATGGAAAAACACTCAGCCCCACTGGGGTCTCCTCTCTCCACCCCCAAGGGCTGCTTAGGTTCCAGTCTTGCCCTTGCTTGACCTCCCTGGGGGCCCTAGTGCTTGTCTTCCCCTGGAGGCTGGAGAGTACCCTCAGGAACCTGGCAGAGGAGAAGGCAGAGGAATGGCAGGGCCCAAGGCAGAGGTAACTGGAGCCAGCTAAGTCTGCCCCCTGGGCCTGTCACAAAATTTGCAAGGAGAGAATGAGACCTCTCCGTGACTTCCCCCTCCCTTCCCACCTGGAATAGTCCTCCTGGGCCTGAGGTCTGACAGCAGGTGGAGGAAGCAGCCGTGTGTGTGGGGGGAGCTGTTCCTGGTGGTGATGCCCCGTGCCTTCCTGGTCAGGAGTCAGCGTCCACAGCCACCCAACTGGGGCCACCTGCCTGACCAGCTCCGGGGACATGCCTATGTCCCAGGTGGGCCCCTCACTGGGCCTAGAGGTGAGGGGCAGGGGAGACACAAAGCATCACCATCTGGCTTCTCTCCTCAGACTGCAGCAGCCTGGGGGGGCCACTGGCACACCAGTCTTCTGGCCTCCGGGACTCTTGGGCAGCGGTGAGTCTGCAGCTGTCCCACAACACCCTGCTCAGTTTCACCCCTGCCCACTCTCAGCCTCAAGAGAACCTGCCTGCCCCTTACCCCCTCATGCCACTCGAGCCTCGGGACCTTTCCACCCATTGTCCTCTCTGCTGGAAATGCCTTTTCTTTCTTAGTAGTGGGCTCACTGTTAGCCCTCACCCCAAGTACCCTTTCCCCAGGGTGGGCAGCCACAGCCCCTGCCCCCAGGGATTCTCTGCCCAGTGGGGCAGAAGAACAGGATTCAAACCAATAAGTGGATGGTGGTTTGCATTATGTCAGAGAACCAGACAAGGTGACAGGAGGTGGATGGGGGATGGGGGAGGAGCTCTGGGGCCTCTCAGAAGGGATGCTCAGCTGTGCGTGCACTGGAAGAAGGAAAGCCCTAGGCGGGATGTACATGTGCTGGAGATTATTCGTTTTTATTGGGAGCCAGGACTGTTCTAGGCAACGGGTGTTTAGGAGTAAGACAAAAACTCATTCCTTCCTGAAGCTTATAATCTGGTGGGAGCTGCAGGTACAGATAATAAAATTAGGGAAAAAAATATTATGTTGGAAGATGGTATGTACTATGGAGAAATAGAAAACAAAGTAAGGGCAATGGTGGCAAGGTGGTCAGGGAAGGCCTTGGGGAGAGGGTGGCATAAGCACGCACAAACTGCAGTCTCCGGCCTTCCCAGACCTCCTTGGTTCCCAGTTCTAGGTGCTCTTGGTCCAGTGGAGGGGTCAGGTGGGGTCCTAACTCCCATGTCCCTCCCACAGCCCTCCCAGGGCACACTGACTGCCACTCCTAGGGGCCCTGGGATGCTTGGCTGCCCCCTCTGCCCCAAGGCTTCCCGTTGCAGCGCATGCTGACCCGGCACCTCAAGTGCCACAGCCCTGCCCACCACCACGTGTGCCACTGCTGTGGCAAGGGCTTTCACGACGCCTTTGACCTCAAGCGGCACATGAGGACTCACACGGGTGAGCAGCGGCAGGGACTGACTGGGAGGTGCTGCTGCAGGGGGATGGAACGAAATGGAGGTAGGTGCATGGGATGTGGAGTTTCCGTGTACTTGAGTTCCGTGCACAAGTGGGGCATGTGTTAGTGGGACAGAGACTCAGCCTTCAGGAGGCTGGGAATACCATGCACCTCAGCTCCCAGCCTGTGGGTGTTGGGGTGGTGCCAGGGTGGGGGCCTGCTGAGGGATACAAAGAGAAAACAGGTACTGGTTACAGGATTCAGGTCCCATATTGAAGGGTGCAAGGGAAAGCCTCCCTCCTTCTCCTCCAGGGGAAGGAACATCCTGGTGAGGAGGGTGGGGACACACAGCTCCCACGTTTGCACGGGGTGGAGGTAGCAGATGGTGGGAAGCAGGCCAAGGTCTGGCGAACTTGGGAGTAGGAAAGGCGGAATGCTCACGGAGGGCAAGGTCGGAGGGTGCTGGTCTGGGGGCCATTGCCCTGTCTGTCCTCTCTCCCTCTGGCCCACCTGCACAGGGATCTGGCCATTCCTCTGCGGAGCTTGCGGGAAAGCATTCACGCAGCGCTGCTCACTTGAAGTGCATCCTGCCAAGGCACATGGATAGCTGGCCAGCTACGCTTATCGTGAGCGCTGTGAGAAGTTACATGTGTGTGAGGACTGCGGCTTCACCAGCTCGAGGCCTGACACCTACGCGCAGCACCGCACCCTGCACCACGCTGCTTGAGACTGGGAACCCTGTGTCCAACCCATGAGAGGGAAATAAACAGAGGAAAGGCACGCATAGAACACAGCATTTATTTACACAAGGGGGAGAGTGGTTCACTCGGTCCAGCGGTGGCCGCAGTGTGGGGCTGTGCACACATAATACAAGCGCATGGCATCCTGGCAGAAAGGATGTACGGTTAGGAAGGGTCTGGATCCACAGGGCTGGATACAATACGAACCTCCATCCAGAGAAGCCTCACCCCAAAAGGACAGACTAGGGGGCTTTCCCCACTACTAAAGGTCCAGCTCGAGATGCCTGGAAGGGCAGGATCTCCCCAATATTGGTGTCCCCACCCCTGGGAAGGACCAGGCCCAGGTCACTCCGAAAGCCTTGCTCTCACCACTCACCTCGGCCCGGGCACTGTGTGACTGGAAGAACACCGCCTCCTTGTGGCCGCACCTGAGGGGACAGTCAGCCACTCAGAGCCTGCCATACCCTTCCCTCCTCCCTTCTCCGTCCGGTGAGGATGAGCCACCTTCCCTCCCCAGTACCAGCTGCGCGCTCACTTTTGGCAAGGGTGGTCTTCGGTCCGTGGCAACGTGGGGTCCTGGGACACGTCAGCGATGATCTGGGTCAGTTCGCTGAGGGAATAAAGGGTGAATAAGTATGCTTAGACCGGGCCTCCCAAGCCAACAACCCCGTCTCCTAGCTCGGGCCCTGCCACTCACTCCACTTCGTGCGTGATTTTGTTGACGTAGATGCAGCTGTTGTCGGCTTCCTGCTGGTAATCACAATTCCGGCACTGCGAGAGGGCGAGAGTGGCGGGAAGGGGGTCACAGAGAGATCCCCGATGGGACTGGAAGGGCATGGCCTTCCCCCGAGGGGATGACTAGGGGATGGAGTCTTGAGGTTGGGATCATTGGGTGTAATCGAGAATCACCTCGCGGATGGGCAAGACGAGAAAGTCGGGTTCACTAGGGGGACAGTTGGGAGGGTTAGACCAGGACGGGGCGGCACTGGGAGTAGGGCCGGACCACGTTGGGAACCTGTGGGCCGGTCACGGAACACCGGGGCGCCCGGCTGGCTCGCGCTCACCGCGTACAGCAGAATGCGGTTCTCCTTGTCCTCCTTGGGGTAAAGCATGTTGTTACTGTGGGGAGGGGGAGGTCTGAGGTCAGTACTGGGGCCACTACTTGCTCCCCTTCCACAGTGCTGGCCGGGTCTCACCATTCCTGGCAGAATCGAATACCCACGAAGCCCGGCTCGTAGGTCCCATCGGGTTCCATGGCGACTCACTGCCCGCCTAGCCTTCAGCGTTTGCTCAGCCGCGGGACAGGTCGCGGGAAGGGTCAGATCTCTTAGCTTCGCCAAAAGAGGGGAGGAGCTGTGCACATGTAATGGCTCCCAGTGTCTTTGTGGTGGCTGATCTGAGCTGAGGTTTGATTAATTACTTGCTTCAATCTTTTGATATCCTAGAATATGGCTTCCAACTTCTGGGCCTTTCTTCCCCAGTTTACAGAATAGTGTGGTACGAGAACCGGGAAAAATGATGCGTCACGTAACCCGCAAAGTGCTGAGTGTAAATGGAGAGGCCTTGGCTCTTTGCAGGTTGAAGGCCAGTGCACATGCGCGGACAGGGGTAGCTCTTGCCAGTCCTTCCTCTCGGCTTCAGCCTTCGCCCGCCAGGTCGTTTCCCGTGACGCTATTGGAAGAACTGTGCACCGTGAGAGACTTCTCCGGATTGGCTGGGCCTACCCAGGACTTCTTCCTGGCGGCGGCGAAGAGACGCGGCGATTGGCGGACCCCCCTGGCGGGAGGGCGTGGATTGGCCAGGTCCGGGAGCAGGGGGAGGGGCTGATATCCCAGAAGCGGCGGCGGCGGCGGCTGCGGAGCCGGTGTGAGGCGGCTGACTGGCTTGCGGGACCCCACAGGGCGCGGCGAGATGGAGGTGACGGGGTTGTCGGCGCCTACAGTGAACGTTTTCATCAGCAGCTCACTCAACAGTTTTCGCTCCCAGAAGCGGTACAGTCGCAGCCTCACCATAGCTGAGTTCAAGGTGTGGCCGCGGGGGCGGGGTCCTGAGGGGCGGGGCTAGTGTTGAGGGGCGGGGCCAGGAAGAAATGGAGGGTCTTCCCCAGCGCAGGGAAGGAGCCAGAGATAAGCCCAGGTTGCAGAGGTTCTGGACTGGACCTCAGCGGGGCGGGGCCAGAGGGAACCTGAGGTTCCAGAGAATGGGTGCGGGGCCAGAGAAGAAAAGAGGTTGCAGGGAGTGGGGGCAAGACCAGAGGAGGTGGGGCCAGGGATAACCAGGTGGGTCCTAAATGGTACGTCTCTTGGAGGAGCGAGGAATGGGTGATGGTTATTGATACAAAGGGCGGAGCCTCAGGGCAGAGAGTGGGGCCACTGACAGCCTTCCACCTCGTCCCCGCCTCCCCATCTTGTTATCCCCACAGTGTAAACTACAGCTGGTTGTGGGCAGCCCTGCTTCTTGCATGGAATTGGAGCTGTATGGACCTGACGACAAATTCTACAGCAAGCTGGATCAGGAGGATGCACTGCTGGGCTCTTACCCCGTAGATGACGGCTGTCGCATCCATGTGAGGCCTCCCTACTTGGGATCCCTCCCCTCCATTCATTTATTTATTCAATAGATGCTTGATGTGCTTTGCGCTGTGTGATAACCAAAATAGGCCCTAACCGCATGGAGCTCCCAGTCCAGCAGTGAGAGAGACAGACCCATCACCAGACATTGGCAGCCAGATTGGTCTGGACTGGGCTGAAAAGCCTAGGGGACTGGAGGCATCCAGAAGAGGTGCCTGACCCCACCTCGGGGTATCAGAAGGGACTTCCTGAAGTTAGGGATGCCTGAGTTGAGATCTGAAGGATGACCTAAGAGAAGAGGCGGGAGGGGCATTCCAGGCAGAGGGAACAAGAGTGTGAGGTGGGTCAGGGTGAGCAAAGAGGCTCACATATTGGGAGAAGCCAGAACACAGAGGACCTCTGCATGCATCAGCTCACATCATCCTCTCTGTCCTCAGTCTTCCCCGCCCCCCCAAAACTCTGCAGACATCCTAGCATCCCAGGTGAACTTTGCATGTGCTGTTCTCTGTGCCTGAATGTTTCTTTTTTCTATGCCCACGTGGCTCACTCCTTCCTTCCAGTCTTTACTTAAATGTCACCTTCCGGGTGTGAGGGCTTCATTGCCCTCGGTATAAAATTTAAACCTCCTCCCTTTCCCACTTTCTTTGATTTTTGTCCTTCTCACTAATCACCTGTGGCATACTATGTATTTTTCTCCAATACCTGGAACAGTGCCTGGCACAGAGAGGATGCTCAGTGAAACATTGTTGAATGATGAGTTCAATGCATAAAATAATACTTGGAAAATGGTGTAATTAACCCTATTTTGCAGAAGAGAAAACTTAGTTTCAGTATGGAATTTAATTTCCTGAGGAGAGACATAGCTAGAATTTTTACCTCAGTCTGCATGGCTCCAGAAGTTAGTGTACCCAGAGAACTGGGTCTTTTTTGTTTCTTTTAATTATTCATAACTGTTCACTGAGCATCCACATTATGTCAGGGATATAGCTGTGAATCAAGTCTGAGAAGGTCTGTGTTTTAGCTCTGTCCAGTGAGTGTGGTAGGCGTTAGCTAAATATTCACAGGAACAAATGTAAAGGGTCAGTGAGACGAGGGCCATGCAGAAGGAGATCACAGAGCTGGGAGATCCTATACTGGGGAGCCTGACCCATCAATGAGATCCAGGAGGACTTCCTGGAGGAGGTGCTGCCTGAACAGAGACCTGAAGTTAACTGAAGAAGGGGAAAGCGTGCTTCAGGAGGAGGGCACAGCATGTGCAAACACTCTGAGGTGGGAGGGAGCAGAGTGGGGTACAGGGGCTGAAGAGTGACCTGTCCTGTTTTGGTGGGAAGTGGAAGCCAGGGGAGGACTCTGAGCCAGGAGGGTCCTGGTCTGACTCAGGTGTTCACAGGCTCCCTCTGACTGCATGTAGGGAACAGACAGTGGAGGACAGAGGAGTAGGGAGACCAAGGAGGAGGCTGCTTCCATAGGCCAGTTGAGGTTATGGGTCCTAGACCATTGTGGGAGCAGGTCGGGACTGTGCTGAGCCCATAGGACTGACTTTGGACTGACCTGGGCAGTCTCAGCCTTGGGATGCTGGTGGGTCAGGCAGGGCAGTGGCGTCCTCAAACAGGAGGGTTTCACACATGGATTCAGGTATAGACAGGGTGCTGACTTCTGAGGCCATACAAGGAAAGTTTCCCAGAGGTGGAGCCTCTGGAGAATTTGTATTTTTTCTAAAATTCTTTTCCTGTTTATAAATATCACCCATATTTCTTTTTTTTTAATTAATTAATTTATTTTTGGCTGCGTTGGGTCTTCGTTGCTGCACGCGGCTTTCTCTAGTTATGGCGAGCGGGGGCTACTCTTCGTTGCAGTGAGCAGGCTTATTGTGGTGGTTTCTCTTGTTGCGGAGCACACGGTCTAGGCGCACGGGCTTCAGTAGTTGTGGCTCGCGCGCTCTAGAGCACAGACTCAGTAGTTGTGGTGCACAGGCTTAGTTGCTCTGCGGCATGTGGGATCTTCCCGGACCAGGGCTCAGACCCGTGTCCCCTGCATTGGCAGGCAGATTCTTAACCACTGCGCCACCAGGGAAGCCCTCACCCATATTTCTTGCTGCAACGAATGACAGCAACCTCAAACTTAGAAAAACCCCTGATATAGAAAGTGGAAATTCTTAGTGATTGTTAGCCAGAAATAAGGGCCGTTTCTGTTTTGCCCAGTGGCTCAGGCCAAATGCTTTAGGGTGTTCCTCACCCCTGTCCTTCCCTCACACCCACATCTAATCTGTCCGCAGATCCATGGGCTCCACCCACAAAAATCTATCCAGAATCCAGATTCTCCTCCCTCACTGCCCCCACCCTGGCCCAGCCTCCATCCTCTCCCTCCTGGACCATCACACAAGCCGTCTCCCTGCTCCCATCCCTGTGCCCCTCCAT